TCCCCTCCCACCTCGGCTGCTGAAACCCTTCCTTCCGTGTCGTAGGCCTGCCCACCCTCCCCCACTCCTCATTCTCTGCTCTAGGGATCTGCTGCCCAACAATGCAAGTGCCCATAATGCCACTGAGCTGGATATTTAAAAATGGCTATGATGGCAGATTTAATGATACGTGTTTTTACCACAAAAATATCAAATGGCAACTATAACTAAAATATGCAATTTCTGAAATAAGAACGTGTTGAGCACAACAGAAGAGTGCACTGTGAACAGGAAAACGGTCAGGAGAAAGCACCCAGGCTGAAGCATGGAGAGAAACAAAATGGAAAATGTCGGGGGGAAAGTGTAAAACACGTGGGGAAATGGTCAAAGAAGTAAGATAGAGCCCTGACCGGTGTTTCTAAGCAGTTAGAGCACTGGTACACGCCCCAGAGAGTCACGGGTTCGATTCCGGATCAAGGGCATGTACCTGGGTTGCAGGTTCAATCCCTGGCCCTGCTGCTGGTTGGTGGTACAGGAGGCAACCAATTGATGTGTTTCTCTCACATCAATGTTTCTCTCTCCCTCCCCCCTCCCTCCCTTCTTCTCTTCCACTCTCTCTAAAAATCAATGGAAAAACAATATTCTTGGGAGAGGATTCACCAAAAAATAATAATAATAAGATACAGGAGAGGAAAGAAGAGCACAGAAGCAGCTTTAAAGAAACAGTGGTCAGGCATTTTCCAAATGACACAATTTTCCAAACTCCAAATCTATGTGCACCTTTCCGTACATATATTATGCTTCAATAAAATGAAAAAAGAATTAGTCACCATGGGTTAAAAAAAAAACACTACTTACAAGAGACGTTTAAATGTAAAGCTACAAAAGTTTAAAGTAAAAAGATAGAAAAAGATGAACTGTGTGAACACGAACCAAAAGAAAGCTGTTATAACAGTAACATCAGACAAAACAGACTTTAAGGCAAGAAACATTCCTAGAGATAAAGATGTACATCTCATGATGATAAAAGGACCAGCTCACCAGGAAGATATAACAATTCAAAAGGTGTATGCACCTAAAGACAACTTCAAAAACAACTGATAAACTAAAAGAAAAAACAATCAAATAACTATTTTTCAGAGATAGTAATATATCCACTGAGCACACAACAAATATGCCTGAGATGGTGTCTATGGGAGAAAGGGAATGGGGATATTGAAAGTGGAGATCAAAGAAATAAAAGAAGGAAAGAAACAGAAAACTAAATAAGTGAGAAACCCAAGAGGTCGGCAGATTTTTTTCTATTAAGGGCAAGATGGTAAATATTTTAGGTTTTAAAGGCCAAAAGGCAAAATCAAGCACTATAAATGCTGTCTTTCTTACACTTTACCATGTAAAAACCAGTCTCAGCAAGCAGGCAGTGGGCTACACTCGGTCCAGGGGCTGTGGGATGCTAACCCCTATCCTGACTCAGTGACAGGGAGCCTGAGGCCTTAATTGAAGACATTAAGAGGGGAGGGAGGGGAGAGAATGAGGGGAAGGAGGAACAGCTGCCTGCCCTCTGCTGCTCACTGCCACCTCCACACCCAGAAGGGTTCCTGTTCTGGGACCGTGGACACATTCCAGGGTCCCAGGAGCAACACACACAAGCACCTCCTGTTTTATGGGACGAGCACACCCTCTCCTCAGGGGCAACCTGCCAGGAGATGTCTGGCTCCTGATATGCAACTCCAGGTCGGGCAGCGCCCAGCCCGGGGAAGATCTTGTAAAAATCATGAATGGATACAAAAGTGAGGCCAGAAAGGGGCAAAGATCTGCAGAGACCAGTGGTCCTTGGCACCACCAAGCAGTGCCTGTCCTTCCCGAGTAACAGGACCTGCGTCACTGGAGACCAGGATGTGCCAACCAAAACCCTGCCTAGATCACGCTCTCGCACATGAGAATGGCCACCGAGACGCAGCAGAAGCTGCAGGGTGAGCTGTTCAACAGCCACACTCAGCTGAGACACACTTTGCCTGGCCCCTCCCTCCTTCTGCTGCCGGGACGTGGGCGTGATGGCTGGAGCTGCAATGACAGGTGGTGACCATGGGGAGGCATTGAGGAAGGAACCCTCATCCGACAGACGGTAGACTGAAGGCAGTGGCACCACCATGCCAACCCAGACACCTAACTCTAGACGACTTCTGTGCAAAAGCAAAGCAAACCTCTAACTTATTTAAGTGGCTGCTGTGAGGATTCTGCGGTCAACAGCAAACCCAATCCTGAAAGCCCGTCGGCAGAGTGAGCTCAGCCACTTGCCTTCAAAGAGTGGAATGGAGTCGTTGGAAAAGGCGTCCAAGGCGAGGAGGTCTTTCCCATCTTTGGACCCGCTGCGCTTGTGCTTGTGTTTTCTTCGAAAGAAGGATCTGCGCGCAGCCGCGGACAGCGTCTTGGAGGCGTTGCTGTCATCTTTGACTTCCGACATGCTGAGCCTCCTGGAGAACTCTTGGTCCATCCTGCACCACGGGGAATGGCAGAGCTGGGAAGGGCCCATCTCCCGCCCCGCCTGCCCCTGAGGAGGGCAAGGGCTGGAAGTCCCAGCTCCGCCCATACTCCTCTGCAGGTCTCCTGGGTACTTCACCCCCCCAGGCCACCGAGGAGCCCCGGAGCCACTGCTGTGGGGCAAGCTCTCAGAGCAGGCAATGTCTATTCAGATGGCATCAAAGGACCAGGACAGCCTTCGCTGGGAGGTACTGCAGGCCACGCTCCCTGCCACAGGGGAACGGAGCGCTGATGCACGCTGCAGCACGCACGGTACGCTAAGTGAAGAAGCCAGTCACAGAGACCACAGCTCTATGATCCCTTCCCTACAAAGCCCAGAACGGGGAAACCTATAGACACGGAAGGTAGATGCGTGGTTGCCTAGGGTTACGGGGGGGCAGGGAAGGCAGAGAGGGACAGCTAACGGGGCCGGGGCTGCGTAGGTGATGAGACTGTTCTAAAATGTGTGGTGATGGTTGCACATATCTGTGAATATACCAAAAGCCACGAATCACACACTTCGAGTAAACTGTACGATATGTGAATTATTCCTCAATAAATCTGTTAAACGTTTTAAAAAGCTGTCTCCTCAGTTGCCACTGTGCTCTGTGCAGCGCTGACCCATGCACGGCAGTGACTTGCGCTAGGAGCAGCTTTCAGACAGCGATTTTGGAAGACGAGTCGACCAGAAGCCGAGATGAGTGGCAGAACGAGTCCTCCGTCTGGGGGAGAGTGCCACAGGCGCCCCCCACCCCCACCCCCAAGGCCCCCCACAAAACACTCACACATATTTGCTGGGGATCTGCCCACGCTGGATCTTCTGGGCGTTCTCGTCCAGCTGCCAGGCCATCCAGGACCCAAACGCGCCCTGGGGCAGGGTGTCTTCGACATAGAGGATATCGTCTTTCTTAAAGCTCAGCTCATGCTCCACCTCCGCCAGCCGGTCGTACAGGGCCCTGCGCAGGCGACGAGGGAGAGGATCAGGAGCCACAGCCCTGACAGCCAAGCCCCAGGTATGCTCTGCTCTGAGCGTTCCCAGACCAGGGTCAGGACCTGCTGTCTGTCCTCGTCCAAAGAAGGGAGCCAGGCTTTACTAACGGGACAAAGCTGCTGCCTTTCCTCCCTGAGGCCCAGGCGCCCTGCGGGGAGGGGAGGGGCCTCATGCCCATAAGGCAGAGAACTTGCCAAGGACCAAGGCGTGTCCACCCGTCCATGAGAACCTCTCCCTTGGCCTTCCTCCCCGAGTCCAGGCTGATAGCTCCTACAGCCTGGAAACTCCCCAGGATGGAAACACGTCAGCCCACCATGGGGGGCCCTAGAGACGGGGACCACACCTCACGGCACACAGCTGACCGGTGCTCTGGTTCTTTCTGTGGCCTCAGATTTTAGGTAATAGGAAGGAAGCTATGAGCACCCCCTAGAAACTGCCAGATGCCCGTCCCCCACACATTGCAGGACACTGTGGACACACCCCAGAGGATCGACAGACCTGGGTCGGGGGAAGACGGGGAGAGCAGGGCAGCCCACAGGAAAATGGGGCTCTTCAGTCCCAAGCCCCCCAGGCCCTAAACCCTAAAGGGGGAGCCCACTTGGCCCTGCGAGCCCTCGGGTTTTTCTAAGTCACAAGCATCCCGCCATGGGATGCAGTTCGGGGCCCAAGTAATGACCATGGTCCCACCCTTTGGGGTGAAAACAGAGGCATTAACCAGGAACAGTCTCCGTCGAAAGCCCCTCCCCTGGCCCCGAGTCCCTGGGAGCCCTGGCACCGGCACCTGATGTAAAAGCTGTCGCCAGGCAGGCCCTTGACCTTGGAGAAGTCCTCTGGGCGGTACTGCACCTTCAGGCGGACGCCATCCTTGGGCTTCAGCATCTCCACGTAGACCTCCTCCACCGTCTTGCTGCGCACGTCCAGACTGCCGTACTGCCCAGGGACAGAACCGGGGTCAAAGGGCAGAGGCCAGGGCAGCTGGGGCACCCATGAGGGGCAGATGGTGGGATAAGGTGTAGGTTCAACATCCCTTAAAGGAGAACCTGCCTGCCTCCTCTTTGCTGGCAGGGCTGGCATGTCTGCCTGTGTCCGGTCTGCCCTCCACAGCAGGATGGAACCGTGGTACCCCCACCACGGGGGGCGTTCTAGAGACAGGGACCCAGCCCTCACGGCACACAGCTGAGCGGTGTTTTTATTCCTTCTGTGGCCCAGGAGAAACCCTGCTCTGACTGGCATTTCTCAAGGCCTACAACCCGGCTCCCACCATGCAGGAAACCAGGAGGGCAGACACCACGCTCAGCAGATCAGAGTCCTCCTGCCGCAGGAGCCGAGCACTCCCCTCCAGACAGACGCCAGGGCTCAAGGGGCCAGCGATCTCCCAGGGGGTCTTGGCAGCTCCGCTCCGTCTTGAGAACGAGGAAGCCTGATGTGCAGACAGAGCGCTCAGAACTCACCTCCAGGATGAGGTCGCCCGGCACCAGGCCGTCGGGGCCCTTGGCAGGACTGTCGTCCTCCACCTCGGCCACAAACACCCCGTGCAGGTTCCCACCACACAGATGCACTCCAAGCTCCAGCTGGGACTTTCTGACAAAGACCACTCGTGGCTCTGGGGGCTTCTTGTTGGCATCTCCCACCATCCTTTCAGGAGAGAAATGGAGTTCCTTCGTCAGGCCCAGGAGGAGGGCAGGGAAAAGGCAAAACAGCGGCCAAGGCCCGACCTGTCTGCTTGCTCCCATGTCTCCCGAGGTCTCAGAGCCCAGGAGCCGGGAGGTCCGGCTGCAGGCCCAGTTCTAGTGATCCGCTGAGGCTTGGCAGAGGTGAAAACGGGGCCCTGGTGGCAAAGCCAGTTGGCAACAGAGTGGGCATCAAGCCCCTGCTTCCTGGCCAGCTGCCAGCCGCGTGCCTCAGGCCGGGTGTCGCTCCCACCTGGCGGTACTTGCTTTCCTCTCCTTGTTCTGCCCGAGGAAGATGAGAGTCAGTCCCACTGACCAGGACACAGCTCAGGCAGCACATGTGTCCTGAGCAGCTGCTAGGCCCAGGGACAGCGCTGAACTATGGAGAAGGGCCCCGTGCCATCGAGGAAGCCACGGTGCAGTGAGGGAGACTAAGGTGCTGGCAACAGACCGAGCGCAGGACGGGGGACAGGGTGGAGCCCGAGGACAGGGACCTCAGGGGAGAGGCCAGGTGATGACCATGTGCTGCAGGTAAGTTCCAACGTGACAGACCTGGTGCCGAGGCCACAGAGCTGGCCTCAAGCTGAGTGACAGGGAAACAGTTGCGTACAGGGCTGCCTGCCCAGGCCCATGAGGCTCTCCCTGTTGCCCCTCCAGCTCCCATGAGCGCCTGCCTCCTCCTGCCCACAGCAAGGCTGACCACTCCTCTTGATGGCTCTCCACACATGCCCTTTGCACACCTAACCCCTACTCATCCGAACGTCTGACTCAGCTGTCACCATTCCCTGCCACACTCCTGAGGGCTCCCTCGCAGCCTGCACTGCCCCTCCTAATACGTACGAGAGAAAAAAGGAAAGCAAGGAAGGGCAGGAAGCAGGAGGGCAAAGAGGAACGGTGTGCTCCCCTCCCAGATCCTGCTGGCTTGCTGTGCGGTCTGCAGCACAGGTGACACCCTGTCTGTCCAGTGCCCACGCCTCTCAGAGGATGCGCTCAGGCCACGACAACGACCCACCTGGACCACCCCACTCACTGAGGCGCACAGGAGGCAGGCTCACAGCGCACATTTGCTGACCTGGAACTGGGGGCGCTCTGCTTGGTCGGGGGGGTGCCAGGGCCCTCGTCCTGCTCCATCAGCGGGTCAATGCCTGAGGGATGCTCCGGGACCGTAGCACTGCTGCCCTGGAGAGTGGAGTGGGTGCTGGCAGGGTCCAGGTGGGAGCTGAGGACACAGGACAGGAAGAATAAGGCGCAGCACTCAGCCTTCCGCAGCCGGAGCCACGCCCTCTCCGGTAGGGACCAGGCTACACGACACTGTGCATCTCATCCCCCTCGCACAGCCAGGCAGTGCTGGGTGGCGGGGGCATTTTCTCCCCTTCCCTCCTCTGCCCTGTAACCCACCGCAGGAGGGCAAACACAGGCAGTGCGCGCTAGTGGTCAGGGGCCCTGGGTGTGAACCCCCTCTGGCCACCACACCCCCAGGGGTGGGCCTTCTGCAGCACCGGGGGACCCAGCCATCCCTTTCCACACCCTGTCTCAGGAGACATCTTCCCTCTCGTATGTCCTTTTTCCAAAGTCCCGGGCTAGGCAACCCTCCCCAAAGGGCAGCAGAATGCCCAGAACTTGCAGCCTGCACCCTGGTCTCCGGTGGGGAGCTGAGCACCTGTGCAACCAGACGGCCCCTCAAGGCCAAGCCCTCACCTGGACCGGGAGTGGCTGCTGAGCTGGTGCATGTGTGGGTTGTACTGGGCCAGGATGGTGATGGTGTCGCACTGCTGCCCGATGATGAGGCGGGCCTGCTGCTCCGTGGCGCTCCGCAGGTTTATGCCATTGAACTAGGGGACACCCAGAGCGGGCGGTGAAGCGGCGGGATGGGGATGCGGGGGCACCGCTTCTCCAGGCAGGAGGCTCCCGCTCACCTCAAGTAACTGGTCCCCATACTCAAGGCCAGCCTGGTGAGCGATGCTGCCCCCAGTCACCTTGGAGACGTAGACACCGCCCTTCTCTCCACTCACAATGGAGATGCCCAGGGGCTCTGAGCCCTTCTGCAGCTTGACATGGCGCGGCTCCTCCATGTAGGGCCTTGGAAGAGAGACAAGAGTTTGGGGAATGGGACCTAACGGAAGGGTTTGGGGAAGGCCTGAGGCAAAGCATGCACTCAGCTGTGCAGACAGGGCCAGGGAGCGCCAGGCGCTCCCGCGTGGACACAGCCGGATGAGAACACGATGACCCACCATTGTACGACAGCGATACACATCCCACAACCTCATGCTACACAAACACAACACCCCAAATGGTACGGAAGCACCCAGACACAAAGACACAAAGAAGGGTCTGTCTGGACTATACTAGGAAATACTAGCGTCCGCAGGAGGAAAGCACGGTTTTCATGTGAGATGAGTTCCCGTACAATGTGCCATGTACAAACGCCCCAGTGGGGTCTACTAGTAAAGATGCCTTCAGAGGAAAAGAAAGGCTTCTGGGATGACATTCACCCCAGAAGAGGCACAGAAAGCATCGGTTTCCTTATTTACCGGAACACAGGGTGATGTAAGATGACCACGGAAATTAAGCTACTGCAAACCCAGCCACTAAAAAGGGAGCGGGAGGCTCAGAGCAAGGCAGCGGCCATGCACTTGCTGGCCCAGGGGAGCTGACCGCGTGCCCAGGGCCCTCGGGGCTCGGCGGGGCCTCTAGTCGGCCAACCTCAGACTCCTCAGGGAGGAGGACCTGGGCCTGGCAGCCACGGGCAGTCTCAGGAGGGATCTGTGCTGGTGACATCTGGAAGGTGCGAAAGGTTAGAGAGGAGAGGGATGCTCGGAGCAGGACACCCACAGACTCCTGGAACACAAGACAGAAAGACAGCCACGTGACTGCGCTTCACGCCGCCCTGAGCTCTTCCTTTCATGACAAAATCATGGCCAGAGGCCTAGGGAGGGCCAGTAGGAGAGCCATCCCCCGGGGCTGCCCTCCAGCATGTGGGTGAGGGTGGGTCCATGTGGATCCATGTGGTGAAGGAAGGCGGGCGGAGGCCAGGCCCTGAACCACCCACCCCTGCCACCTGAGGTGCAGCAGTCTCTCTTAGAGGCTGGATAAAAATCCTTCCTGACTGGTCTCTCCTCCCCTCCCAGACTCACCTGCTCTGCAATGCCTTCCTTGACCCTCCGGCTCGGACGGTGAGTCCCGGGCCTGCACCTTCCATCACTTTGAGACTCAACACGTATTAGAGTGCCAGGCAGTTTAGTTTTAAGAACCCTTAGTGATGCCCTAGCTGGTGTGACTCAGTGGATAGAGCATCAGCCTATGGACTGAAGGGTCCCGGGTTCAGTTCAGGTCAAGGGCATGTACCTTAGTGGTAGCTCCTTCCCGGCCCAGGCCCTGGTCGGGGATCATGCAGGAGGCAACCAATCGATGTGTTTCTCTCACATTAATATTTCTCTGTTTTTCCCTCACTCCTCCATTCTCTCTAAAAATCAGTGGAAAAATATCCTCGGGTGAGGATTAACCGAAAACCTTTAGTGAGCAACCACCCCAACACCCTCCTCACGCCCCAGCCGAAGAGGATGGCATCAAGGCCCAGGCCGGCCTGCGGCTGTGGCAGAGTGAGTTTCTGGTCCAGGCATCCTCATTCCCCACTGAATACCCTTTCCTCTGTCCCACCTCCAATCAATATATCGATCTCAACATAGAGCAGGTAACTGAATCACGATAGCCATACAATAGACACCATGAAGCCTAACAAATGATGCCAGGATTTACTGACATGGGACGATACCGAGGACATGCGTGGCTGAGAGGACAGGCTGCTGGACAACACGTCAGGGAATGCTAGGTGACCCACTCACGGTGGCCTCGGCCTACTCAGTCAGAACTCCGCCTCCCCCTGCTCGTGCCAGGTGCCTTCCCTCAACAGCTCTGGCCCATTTGCAGATGTGCTGCCCATCACTGTGCCCGGCACGGACGCCCAGGCCACACTCACCTGTCCTTTCTCCGCTCCCCGAGGGCCACGGGGTTGACAGCAATCCTAGGCAACGTGGACGCTGAGGTCTGGGACTGGCTACAAGAGGACAGGGTGTCGATGTTGAGGGGTGACTGCGGGGGTGTGCTGCATTCAGAATGCGACAATGAACCTGCCAAAAAAGGTGTGGGTAACACAGGGCTCCACCTTGCATCTCAGCTCTCCCGCAGCCAAGACCCAGAGGGAGACGTGATGCAGACACGTGGCCCCACGCCGCGGCCACAGCTCGTGGCCTGGACTCAGACGCTGGCTCCACAGAGCCTTTCCACCCTCACATGGCCAGGCTGAGCTGGACTCAGTGTTTACAGACTGGCTGGACTGAGGAGGCAGTCACAGCCCTGCCCGGACACTCCACCGAGGGCACAGCCTGAACAGCGGGGGGTGGGGGGGTGCTGGGAAGGCCTCACCTCTGTCGGAGCCCACAACAGACCGGGGGTATCTTGGCGTTGATGGGATTTTAATGCGCTCGGCCTTGAACTGCAAGTTGCTTGTAGACCCTGTGTTCCACAGGGGACAGAACTTTAGGCCTGAGAGTAAATACCACCCTCACCCCTCTGTGGCCATGATAAAATGCAAAGCAGGGCCCTGCCATTGATCCCCAAGGGGCCTAAATGGGGCTTGGGCAAGAAAAGCAGCTACCGAACACCCAGTATGTGAATGACTGTGCAGGCTCCACCTGCTCCCAAACAGAATCACACAAATCTCACTCCACCTCGGAACAGGGGCAGCAACCAAGTGGGAGAGGCAGCTGTTCACCTGCTCTCAGAGCCTGGGCACCGCCCAGGGCAAGTGCCAGCCTCCTTTCTGGCTGCCTTCCCGTAAGTAAAGAGCACTACAGCCTCCCCCAGGATGACCGACAAGCTCAGGGCGGGAGCAGGGCTCCTGGGCCAATGGGGTCGCCAGAAACAACCGCGTGGCCACTAGGAAAGCCAAGAGCACAACAGACGGCCCAGAGCCGCCCTGGGCCCCGGAGGGGAGGAGCCATGGAGAGGCTGCCACGAGGCGGGCACGAGGCGGGCACGAGGCCGCAGGTGGAGACGAACAGGCCGGACTGCCACTGTGACAAGGCAGTGGCGCAGTTACCCAGGCGGGCGCTGGAGGGCAGTGAGTTGGACCCGTGGGAGGCTCTCATCTCCGAGTAGTCGCTGCAGGCCCGGTGGCTCAGGTCCAGGCTCAGGCGTCCCTGGTGCTGGACACTGCGGGAGAACCAGACAAGTGAGGGGCCCAGACTGGACGTAGCCCCTGGGAGAAACACAAGTGACAGGCAGCAAGGCCTCCCTCCCTGGGCTGGCAGAAGGGAGGCCTGGAAGCCACTGGCTGTCAGCTGAGGACAGCAGCCTGCCCGCAGCCATGCCAGCGGCACATCCACAAGGGAGGGCCCTGCGCGAGGGAGAAAGGGCCACACAAAGGGAGCAGGAGCGGCCCACCCACTTCAGCCTCAGCCTCAGCCGGGGTCGGGTTCTCTGGAGGAAGGGCTTCTACAGGGAAAAGGGGCTCTGAATCCCGGGGGGGCCCGGGCGTGGGGAGAGGCCAGATAGGCAGAGGGCCCTGGGAGCCTCCCTCAGGAGAACGTGCCTGGGAACCAGAGGGAAGAGAGCCCAGGCATCTTCCACACCAGGCCCAACAATGGCCTTTTAACAGCGTAATGAGACTCCATCTGTTCCTGCCTAAAACCCTCCAGTGGTCTCCCCTGCACTCAGAGTAAGACTCCAACTCTGTGTTATGGCCGCAGACCCTGAGGGTTGGTGCCCTGTGACCCGGGCTCACCTCCGACCCACTCTGCCTTTGCCTGGCTCCCCGACTCTGTCCCAAGGGTCACACTGCTGTCAGGTGCTGAGCACAGCACCAACAGCCCTCCCTACCGGGGGCTCGGCCCGCGTCCTGTGCAGCCGGCCTACAGCAGCATCCTCCCCACCAGGCGGCCACCCCACCATCCAATCTAACCCTCCACCGGCTTCCCACTCGGGCTAGCTCGTCACCTTGCTTACGGTTTTCAGAGCTACTCAGCACCATGTGGTATCGCTCTGTCCACGTTTTCCTATCTGCCTCCCATACATGAACACAAACACCACGAGTAGAAGCTTGTCTAGTTCTCCCTGCATCCCCCTGGAACTAGAACAGTCCATGGCATGCAATAGGTGCTCAATAAAAACTTGTCAAATAATTGAATGAATGAATGAACAAATGAAAGTGACCATTTTTTCAGACTCAGTTTGCTCATCTATATAAAGCAGAGACATAATAGTCCTTAGCACCTAGGGTTGCTGTGGCAATTAAATGAGATGATGTTTACAAAGGTCTGAGCACAGTGCCTGACACGCGAGCAAGGAAGGATTGGCTACCATCACTATCATCTCTCCTGAAATACCTTTTCAAGCTCCACATTGGTGAACCACTGTCCCTGGGGTCCCAGCGCTGCTGAAACCAGCCCCTTCCAGCTGGGCAAGGGAACCTCTGTCCAGGAGCCTCTCTATGCCCCAGTGGCTTTATGTCCAGGTGGGCTTGGATGGTTGGGGTGCCATGAGGTGCGGAGCCTTCACATACCTGGGATGCAAAACCTGGGGGCCGACCTCTCTGGGGACGGGTGGAGAGCTGCAAGGGCCAACCCTGTGGCTACGCACGGTGTAGATGGGGTTCCTCAGGATGGAGCTCACAGTGGTGCTTGGGGTCAAGCTCCGGGGAACGGTGCCTAGAAATGGGAGGGGTGAGGACGGGCTCCCCAAAGCACCCAGCCAGCCCACAGCTGTGCAAGCCTTTATCTTTGCTGCTTCCTATTTCCCAGGCCGCTATGGGGAGAAAGCACTCTGCAAGGCTAGGAAATGTCCCTGACACTGCCTAACATCACCCAGACAGGGCAGCGCCTGCTAGCTCTGGGCTGAGGACACACAGCTGCCCCTTGAAATGACTCCATTGCCCCAGGCACTGGGCGGCCCTGGAGGGCCCACAAGGCCCTCCTCTGCCCAGCCCTGCCCGGCTGACTCACCCACAGATGCCTTGCCAGGGTAGAGCGGGGGGTTGCTGTGCCGGCTGGAGTGACCTGGCGAGTAAGGGGACCACTCCGGGAGCTCTGGGGAGACTTCTCCGCTGGCTGAGACCCACTTCTGCTCCTGCAGAACCAGAGGCAAGAGGGAGTGGCTGGAAACAGGGAGACGCATAGGTGCTTACAAGCAACTGTCCCTTGCACACTAGCTCCTCCCACTTGGACACGAAGTCGGTCAGGAGGTGTCCCTGCTCATTCAAGTTGCCTTCTACACCTGGAGGGGAAGAACTTCCTCTAAAAATGCTCCAGAGGAAAACCACAGAGGAAGGTTCTATTCTTTCCAATCAACGGGCTGTGTGTGTGCAGAGGGGGGCCGTGCATCAGAGCTGCGTGAGGCTCTGTCTGCAGAGCAGCTCGGATCTGTTCCGCTCACAGCAGCTCTCCCTTCCAGAAATGCTGCACCCCCGCCATGCCCAGCCAGCCTGTCCTGCTGCCAGGTAGGAGTCTCTGTGTCACCTTCTCTCCCTGAAGCCCTCAAGGCAGGTCCATGTCACCTGGTTTTGTTGTACAGTTTCAAAAGCTTCTTGCTGAATAAGCAAATTTAATGCTACACCCCAGAATGTGTTTCTCTCTTGGTGTCATATCCCCAGGAACGTGCACATCTACGTGACTCTGCAAAGGAAGGCTGATCCCACTGGCATCCACCTGCCTCCCTCAGTTAGATGCTCAGAGCCAAGGAGCCAGAACCAAGCACTAGGCCGGCGACAGCCAGCTACCCCTGCCGCCCCCACCCTCAGCCCAGGCTGGCCCTACCTCCAGGAATTGAGCAGGGATCACCACTGGCGCGAGCTTCGGCCGGAAGCTGGGCGCAGACTTTGGCCGGCGACGCTTCTGTCCCTGCTCGTCCACCTTCTGGGAGGTGAGGTCCTCATCACAGGACTTCTTGGCGGGCAGGTAGGAGGAGTCCCCATCCGCTTCAGGGTAGTAGCTGGAAGCAATGCGGACCCTGCCCTTGCGAGGGGGCGAGGCGTGCATGGGTTCCCCAGGGTCCACGTCGCGGGGCAGGGCACTTGGGGGGCTGGTGGACGGGGAGCTGCCCACCAGAGTGGCCTCGGATTCGGAGCTGGTTTCTAGCCTGTGCTGGAACTTAATGGAGTCACTCCTCCGGGGAGGTTTTGGGGGCGTCAGAGTTCCCACCCTCTTGGAGGGCTGGGGGGAATGAGTGGGCCCAGGGCTGGGGAGCAAGTAGTCTATTTTGGGGGGAGTCTGGGGGCGTTTGAAAGTGTTAGGATCGAAGATGGACTTTCTTTGCTTTGGCTTCTTGTAAACAGAGAGCTTCTCGGGTGCTGCCGCGGAGCTGAGCCCGGCCTTGGGCCAGGTCCCGCCGCTGTGGGGGCCCTCGGGCTCGGCCTTGTCCAGGGGAGCCTCCGTCACCCCGCAGGAACCAGCCTCAGTCTCGAAGGGCAGCAGTGGCCGCCGGGCACACATGTCCCCCAGCCCATAGCCACGCTCCCCAGAGGCATCCGAGCGAAAGGAGCTCAGGCTACGCTCGGAGGCACTGGGACACGTGTTGGGGGCAGCTGGGAAGGGCCCCCCAGGGAACGGCTTGTGCAGGAAGGAGCTGCCACCGCCTGGGGGGCCCGGCTCCTTCCTGTCCTCCGGCCTGTCTGTGCAGAAGATGTCCGTCTGCGTGGAGTTGTTGTGCTGCATCAGGTTCCGCTTATTCTGAGCCTGGACCTCTGGGCCGTGGGCTCGGAAACTCAGCATCTTATCAGAGTCCTTGATGTTTTCAAAGATGTTCTGGCCACTCCATGAAGAGCTCTGAGGGAACACCTACGTGGGAACCATGGAGGAGTGAGGAAGAGAGAAGAAGACCACAGAACCTGGCGCTGCCACTGAAACTGCCCCTGCAGGTAGAGCAACGGCCAGAAACGGGCCACACACCGCAGAAAGCAGGCACACGCACGCGCGCGCGCACACACACACACACACACACACACACACACGCATCCTCTCCCTGACCGGGGGCTTTCTCACAGCCCTGCTCACTGGGACCCACAGGAGAGTCGTGCGTGCTCTTGACTTTGAGCACTCTCTGAATCACCTGTATAATGCCCCACATACTTTGTAATATTATTAAGTAAAAGGAAAATTCGTTATTAACAATGCATGTCTTTTAGTATTCACGTAATGGACTATCACTCAACAATAAAAGAGATGAGCTATCAAGCCGTGAAAAGAAACGTAGGAAACTTAAATGCACATCATTAAGTGGAAGCAGCCAACCTGGGAAGGCTACATTCCAACAAGAAGACATTCTAGAAAAGGCAGAATGATGGAGATGGTGAAAAGATCAATGGTCTCCAGGGACAGGGCGAGAGAGAAAGGGATGGGCGGTGCAGCCCCGAGGAGCTTCGCTCGTCAGGGCGAAGCCACGCTGTGTGACCCTGCAGCGGGGGACACGTGTCCTCGCACATCTGTCCAAACCCACAGAATGTACGACACTGAGAGCAAGTCCTCACGTAAACCATGGGCTTTAGTGAATACTAATGTGCTAACATCGTGGCAAATGAACCCACTAATGCAAGATGTTACTAACAGGGGAAGCAGTGGGGGGAATATGAGAATTCTCTACACTAGTGCACCTTTCCTGTAAGCCTCAAACAACTCCTCAAAAAGTCTGTTATTTTTAAATAAATTTGTAAAACTTTGCTTAATGAAGTAGATGGGCCTATTTTTCCAACTTTCTATTAATCAGTATTTTCAATTATGTAGAAGAGTTGATAGAAAAGTACAATGAATACTCATAAACCCACCATTTAGATTCAACAATATTTTTTAAAACTGTCTATATCTGTCAATATTGCAGAACATCTGAAAGTTACAATATTCATCCCTAACAACTTTATCACGTACTTTCCAAAACTAAGGTCATTCTCCTAGGTGACCCCAATACTGTCACTGTACCCACGAAAATCTACAATTCCTTAGGATCAACTAATTATTCAATCCAGATTCAAATGCACCCCACTACCCCCAAAACGCCCTTCAGAGCTTTTTTTAACTTTTGTTTTTAAACCAGATTCTGGTCAGGGCCCATGCTCTCCCTGCACGTAAATCAATACCCCCTTTCCAGTGACACAGAGCAGTGGAGCTGGGACTTTGTTTTCATGTGATAACTTTCTGATAAGTGAGGCATTAGGGCAGGACCCTTACCTTCAGGAGGGAGAGGGTCAGGGAGTCCTGGCAGCTACGCAGCAGAGACTCACACTCATTCAGGGACTTGTTGTCCAGTGCGATGCCATTGATCTAGGGCCAAACAGAGAGCCTGTCAGGCCCACCGCCAGGACCCGTGCTCTGCCCGCCTGCCAGCCAGGCTGGACAGCAGGCTGGTTCTGTAAGGTCCCCAAGTCAGAAGCTGGCGGAGGAGACAGCCCCGCCCCTACGGCTTGAGGAATCCAGGGAAGGGGCTTCCATGGCACGTGGACCACACAGCCTTGAGCTCACTCTACAAGAAGATGTGTGTCTGACTCGGACCAGGACACCCAGGTGACAGGGACAGCCAGCTCTGCTTCCTGCTGTGTCAGATTGGACCCGATTCGGAACTCCTTCGTGTACAAATTGCAAGATAAACACACGAGTCCCCTAGGGGCGGGAGGAGACTGAAAAAACGCAGCCAGGGTATGGAAGGCCTTTGTAAACTAGAAAGTGCCACGTGAGATGAAGTATCGTCATTGTTCACAAAGAAACACCACCACCGCTTCTGCTTGAACTCCGTCCACACCCCTCTCAGATGTGTTCCAATCTTAGAAGAGGTGTATGAGCAACAAGCAAACAGCCAGACCAGGCTGCACCCACACCAGGAACATGACGCCCCGTAGCGGGAAGGAACACAGCCCTGTGCGGGCAGAACAGCCACCACACACTGCACCATGCTACTCATCTACCCTTCTCGAGGTGACAGAAGTACAGAGATGGAGAACAAACTAGTCGCCAGGGCTCTGAATGGGGGAGCAGGGTGTGGGTGCCACTATAGAGGGGTAACAGGTAACACAAGGGAGATTGTGGTAACACAGATGGAACAGTTCTGTCTTGATATTTTTTTTGGTTACCTAAACATGATAAAACAACATAGAATTAAATACACACACTGTACCAATATCAACTACCTGCTTTTAATATTACAGTTATGTAAGATATAATCATTAGGGAAACTGGGTGACGGGTATATAGGAACCTCCCTCTACTACTTTTTAAATATTAGTTATGAAATATTATAACTGAATTATAATTATTTATGTAATTATTTCAAGGTCAAAAGCTTAAAAAATATACACAGAGGGATTATTTTAGAGTGGTGGATTAATTGGGTTGTTTTTTCTTTATAAATTTTCCTTATCTTGAAATTTTTCACAATGGCCATTTTGCTTTTAACATCTGGAGCCCCAAATCTGAAAAACACCAGCAAAGCTGTGAGGAGAGGAGCTCCCACGCACACTGCAGGTGGGTTGAAAGGTCAGGACCTCAGTGATCACAGGGGAGAGTCGTATCAAATGTTAAATGCTTATCTGACCTAGCAGTTCCCCGCCCCAGGAATAACCCCCGTGGCACACTCTCGAGGCCCCGTGGAAGGAAGGGTGCAGCAGGTACCACGCAGCACGACTTGTAAAGGCAAAGATGCCCCGAGTTTCCGCTGGGGCACAGCTAACAGCCTGTGCTGCTGCCGCTAAGGAACTCACAGTTACAGTGAGGACCCAGGACCCGGACACAGCGAGGAAGCAGCGCAGGGCGCACGTCACAAACAAAGCAAGGCTAGCAGCTCAGTCTGTGAGGATCCCATCTGTGTGTGTGTTTAAGCGGGAGATGCCCATGGTTTGAACATTTCTGGAGGAAAACACAGTGAGTTGTTAACCATGCCTGCCACCGGCTGGGAACTGTTTGGTGAGGCGTCCAGAACTGGAGGAGTTCCTGCCACTGTGCTGGTCGCAGGACTGGATTGGGGGGAGAGGGGGGGCGGGGTGCACACGTGTACGCCTTCACTTTTAAAGAATTACTGACAAAGCGTGCTGCCCTATGACTCAGCCCCTCACGCACTGTGGGTGTGGTCATCAGGGATCTGCTAAGTCTCCCCACAGTGGCTGCTGCACACAGGTGACGTCCATGCAGTGCTGTTTGCAATGGCAGAAACTGAGAACAACTCCTATGTCCATCAGTTGTGGGATAATGTAAACTACAGGTGGTCAAAAAGCTGACCACCATGAGGTGGCCAAGAACAGTAAGGACCGACTTGGAAAGATATCCACAATGGATATCTGTGCAAGCACTTGTGGCCTGGCTGGGAGCACATCCCAAAAGGGGTGGAGATGCCTCCAACAGCAAGATTACAGGGAAAGGGGGCCGCCACTTTACACACGATGGTATCGCTTGAATATCTTACTGCAAAAGAGTCTTACTTTGGTAATAAAGAAAGAAATTTTAGAAGAAATGGATAAAATACTAAACAAAAAAGATTTCTAAAAACATTTTTTTAAATTGGCCTCACTATGCATTCATATACAGAATAAAGGTTGTAGAGAAATACAGTGAAAATGTGAACAAGGTTATCTATTCCTTCCTAAACCTTTTCTGTACTTCTGAATTTTCTACAGTAAATAGAAACATACTATCAGAAGGAAAAAAAAATCACATTTAAATGTTCATATTTAAAGAAAAGGGCAAATATAAAAACTGTGTTTGTTACATCTTGTTCACACCTCCCAAATTTGAATCTAACTGTCCATACGCACAGCGGACGGCCCATCCTGGAGACTTACCGCCACAATCCTGTCCCCCACGGCAAGAGACCCCTCTTTGGCGGCGGGGCTTCCGGGCACCACGGCGGCCGCATACACTCCATTCTCCAGACTGATGCCGCTGTCTGTGGACCACAGGGCGGACACAGGTGTCCCCAGTTAACCCCGCCCAGGTCGCATGGCCCTGGTTGTCCTGCCTCATCTTTGGGAGACGCTCTTACAAAGCGCCTGTCCATTCCAGCGCCCACCCAGGCCAGGCCACCCAGGCGCTCAGTCACGTGGGCACTGGGGAGGGACTCAGACAAGCAGGACCCAGGACCCAGAGGCCCCACATTGGGGGAGCACATGGGCTGCATTCAAGCAGCATCAGCACCTCAGCCCTGGGCATGAAGTGTGCCCAAAAACACAAGGAGGGGACCCCTGCCACCTGAAGCATCTGCCCTCGTCAGGGGCCGCTACCTTTCTGTCCGCTCAGGTTGATGTGCAGGGGCGTGACCACCTTCCCGCCCAGGGACTTCCTCCGCCGCACGACCATGTTGATGGCCCCCTCCCCGTTGAGGAGCGCCTTGAGGGCCTGCTTCTTGTCCTTGTTGATGAGGTCCACGTCGTTGATCCTCAGCAGCCAGTCATTGACCCTGCGGAGGACAGCCCGCTCAGCACCCACGCAGGCCTTGGACCAGTGAGCCGCTCAACTGTTCCCATCCAGGGAGCCGAATGCCAGAAAGCAGGTCCTTCCAGGATGGCCAAACGGTTAGCTCACAGGTGCTGGAGCCAGACTGCCCAGGGTCAAGTCCTGGCTCCACCACCTACAGCTGAGTGACCTAACCCCTCGGGGCTTCAGTGTCTCCATCTGTAAAATGGGGTAGCACCTACCTCACAAGATTGTAAGGATTAATGAATTATTTAAAGTACTTAAACCAGCAATGAGCACACAGTAAGCACTATTTTCTCATCATTGGTATTTCATGGAATGAGCATGCAGCGCACATCATACACTCTCATACACGGCCTGAGCCCTTTTCTACCCAGAAACGCAACCGGGATGCATTCATTTAACTGCCGCCTGGCCTCTGAGGCCTTTCACTAAGCCGGGGGGGCGGGGGAGTGAGGGGGGGTATCCTCCCTCAGAACCTGGGCTTCCTCAACACTTACCGTAAGCGGCCGTCTGCAATGCTTCCTTTGTCCACCTTAGTGACAAATATGCCGCAGTCCCCGGGCAAACAAGGCTCATTCACACCTTCCGCCATATCGAACCCCAGTGCCTTCAAGTCAATGTCCTCCTGTCGAAACAGCAGCAGCCACCGCACGCTTTACGAAGCAGTGATGAGAAACACGTGGCTGTAAACCCCAAGCCACTCACTCGACTGTGGGACTGTCCCTTCGCCATGATTGACGGGGCACTTGGGCCCCAAGCAGCAGCCTCTGAGCTGCTACCACCTGCCCCTCTCAGCCAGGAAATAATCTGCTATAACCCAGCGGGAGCAAGTGCAGTGAAGGGATGCATTTGCACCCAGGGAGGAAAAGCTGAGCCTCCACACTAGCCATGGTGACCCTGGGACACTGGGAGAGGGCATCCAAAGTCTTCATGTCAGGAGAACGGGCAGAAAAGACACGAAGGAAGCTCACCGTCTCCCTTTCAAACTCTACAACTTCCGTTTCCCACTCCATGGAATCTGTGTCGATGGCTGAGTCGTGGGAACTGTGGGCCATCAGCTGCCGGAATCGGGCCTCCTTTTCCAGCTGGGATTCCATCTGCTCCCTGTGAAGAGAGGGAGCCATGGCCATGGCCCTGTGAGAGGCGAAACGTCCCACCCAAGTCACAGCCTGGAAACCAGGGGGACCACTCAAAGCCAATGGGCTTTCATCTTGTCCTTCACGCCAGCTGCCCAACAAATCCGCAGTGCCAGGCTCAGCTGCTTGGATTTCAGTGGGTTTTTTTTAAAAGACTCAGAAGTTCTTCTCACATTTTTTTTTTAAATTTAGGATAAATTCCAATAAATGGAAAGTTTTTCTTTTTTCTTCTCACATTTATATAGAAGTTTCATGCAGTTCTATGAAAATGCCAACAAAACATTTTCATAGGTACAGACAAGACGACTCTAAAGTTTATAGGGAAAGGCAAAAAAGTAGAACAGCTACACTAATTTAGAAAATGAAGAATTAGGTGGGAGAAACACTCTACTCGAATGTAAGACTTTTTCTACAGCTACAGACTCGAGGCTGGGGGGAACCACCAGGAAGAGAGACACACAGATCAATGAAACAGAAGGAAGGATCCAGAAACAGCCCCACCAAGTACAAAAGGTGCAGACGTAAGGGAACAGAGGAAGGGTAGTCTTCAGCTAATGATGGAGCCACTGAACATCATGGGGGAAAAAAAAGAATCTCAACCTGAACACCATACTTTACTTAAAAATTAACTCAAAATGCATCACAGATTTATATATAAAAAATAAATTATAGCCCGGCTGGTGTGGCTCAGTGGTTGAGTATTGACCTATGAACCAGGAGGCCACAGTTTGATTCCTGGTCGGGGCACATGCCCAGGTTGTGGGCTCAATCCCCACTAGGGGGCGTGCAGGAGGCAGATGATCAATGATTCTCTCTCATCACTGATGTTTCTATCTCCTTCTCCCTCTCCCTTCCTCTCTGAAATCAAATACACACACACACACAACACACACACACGCACACACACATTTAAATAAACTGTAAAACTTTTAGAAGGACAATACAAGAGAAAAATCTTCAAGATCTAGGGCTAGGTTAAGGGTTCTTAGACATAACATAATGCATTGAAATAAGCTCTCAGAAAGACCCTGTTAAGAGGGAAAAAAGGAGTCAGAAACCTTGTCATATCACTTGCATGTAATGCCCTTCTTCCTAAAACCTGGGCCCAGACCACCTTCCCAGTTCACTAGCCCTGTCCCGGGCCTCCTGGCTGACTCTGGACTGACTTTTGTTTCCTGTCCCTGTGAACAGCTCCAGGACCACACCTTGGCTGGGCTGTGCTCTCATTGGCCAGCTCTAGATGCCACTCAGCCTCCCTGGCCCCGCCCCAGCCCAGCCCACCCCTGCGCAGCCTGAAGCTGGGCACTGAATCTGACTGCACCCCTCCCCTCCCTCCCTCTGGGCCCCGCTGCTGCTCTGCAGGCTGGAGGCTTCCTGTGCAGCAGGCGGCCTCCATCCCCAGCATCCCGGGTGAGATCTCAGTGGAAAGGAGGTGCAGGTACAAATGTGCAGAACAAGCAGAGGAAGCTGACTTCTTCAGAGGGCCCCGCGACCTGGCGCCATGAGCATGGAAACCTCCTCCTGCACTGAAGCCCCAGGGGTCTAGGCTGCACCTTCATTTGATCCCATCACTGGCTAGATCCAATGTGGGTCCTGGAGAGACTGTCGCTTTGCAACCTCTAAGGTTTTCCTTAGAGCACTCAAGCCCAGAGGCTCCAGGCTTCCATCTAATAATGAAGTGCTCGTCTTACGTTAGATGTCACTGAGGGGGAAGGGGAAGCTGCACTCCCTTCAGGGCACAGCTCAGTGGGCAGGGTTGGCACACTCCCACTCCCCTGCCTCTCGCCTCCATCACTGGAAGCTCCTGGCACAGACAGAGCCGCTGCTCCTCAACCAGAATCTGGTCCTGGCTGCAGTGATGGCTCCTGGGCTCGGCAATTTCTCTTTAAGCTTTGATATTTGTATTTTCAATCTCCTGCTTAGAGTCACCAAGGCTTACACGACACCCTGGAGCTCTGCTGTCACGGAGGGGGTTGTCTTACATTCCAAACAGCCTCTTCCAGATGGGCCTCCGGGTAACACAGCAGGACAGACTGGGAGTGGTGGTCACAACCGCCTGCGAGCACCACAACCATCATCACGTTGTTCCTTTAGCACGTGTCTCTGACGGGCCTGTGTGCTGTGAGCCCCACAGGGCAGGGACCTGGCCGGCCCCCTCAGCGGTCTCCCCTGTGCCTCCCACAGGCCTGACCCAGGGCAGGTTCAGTTGATGAAAGAGGGAGGGAGGGAGGGAGGGAAGGAATGGACAACGCATGCTCGCCTGCGCCCAGATGGGCTGCCTTGGAGCAGGCCCTTCCTTCGTATACGCCTCTGCACACAGTGCACACCTCCATGTGCTCACCAACAGGCCACGTCTCGGTTGGTCTAAGAATTTCTAATTAACTCTGCACATGGAGGCAGCATTTGGACCCATTCTACAGATTGACAGAATAAGGCAGAGAGAAGGAACAGATGGCCAGGCCCTGCCCTGAGAGAAGGGTGGGCACTTCGCTCCCAGGTACACGCCGCCCGGGCAGGCGCCCACCCCAGCGTACTTGAGCTCCTTGAGCTCCCGGCTGACGTCATTCTTCTGTTTGCGAGTGTCGTCCAGGCTGCGCAGGGCCTCCGCCAGCTCGGTCACTGCCCTGTCGCGCTCCCGCCTCAGGTTGTCGCAAAGCGTCCTGGCAGAGGGCACAGGGCAGGGTCACCATGAGGGGTAAGGGGCGCAGCACTCACGGCCTGCAGTGAACACCAGGCACCTGCCTCGCCCCCAGAGGCACAGGAATGTTTGAGAGTTTGAAGTAAGGCCGTCAAGGCCAACCCCACTGAGGGGCAGAGGCAACACTGAGGATCCAGGAAAAGAGACCCCTTTCCACCCCCCGGTTAGCACACAACAAGCACTGGGTTCCAACATCCAGTGCTCATCCCTGGGCCTCACCCTCAATGTGCTGGGGGTTAATGACCACCTCCCCTGGCCCACCCAGCAGGCCCTGTGCCCAGCACCAACCAGATGCCTGACAACACACATGAGGCCTCTCAGAGCTGCCCCCACCCCACGACCAGACAGGATCATGCCTCGTGCCTCTCTGTGGCCTGAGCTCTCCACAGGTGCAGGCTGGACAGCTCTGCTAATGGACATGTGACTGCCAGACCTCAGCACCACCTGGGCTCCTCAGAGAGGAGGTAGGGACAGACAGCGTGGCAGCAGGGAGTCTGTGCTCCATGCCACCTCCGGCACCACCCCTGCCACTGGAAGGACCCTGAGAGCTGGTACCCCCCTCCATGGCCCCAAGTCCCCCCACCTGAACCCTCACCTCTTGGCCAGCCTGCATGGACATCAGTCTCTCATTCAAAAGGCCACAGGGACCTTTCAGAAACTCTCAATTACCAAGTCCTTGCTCACTACCAACACCCCACCCCACAGCCTCTCCTAGCTCTCCCTCCAGTGGAATCCACTCCCGGGTTCCTTTCAGGCTCTTAGAACTGCCCTCGGGACACAGTCAGCTGCCTTCTCCGACTCCAAACCCAAGACCTGCTCCAGTCACACCATGTCCCTCCTGCCTCCACACCACACCTTTGCTTATGGCCGCTCAGGCGGCAAAGCCCGTCCCCTGTGGGAAAAGCCCACTCGTGCTTGCATTCTCGCTCGAATTCCATGCTTTCTGGGGAAACTCCCCACCTGCTCCCCCTGCCCAGTGACACCTCGCGGCCCTGGAATTCCGTTCATGCATCCTCCTTTCCCTCTGCCCTGGCTGGCAGAGCTGCCCGTGGCCCCCATAGGCATCACACCACCTGGGAGCCTTGGAGCTGTCTCCCAGGATCTCCTTGCTCAAGGAACCTCAGATCCTGGCACACAGTAGGTGCTCCATTAATGCTTCCTGGGAGAATGCAGCTCTGTCAGTGTCATCAGCACCCTCCCGAGAAACCAGCCTGGCCTCGGGCCACTCCGCAGGGTCTCAGTGCCCACGGGACCTGGGTGAAGTGCAACCGAAGCACAGACATGTAGAATTCTAATGCTCTGAGGCGAGTGGGGCATCGCCCAGGGAGAGGAGGGAAGAAGCCAGCCACTCTCATCTTACCCGGACCCGTAGCAAATGACTGCGGCCCTCCCCACAGACCCCGTGTGCCACGGGAGACCCGAGGCCACGCCGCCCAGGGCACTGTACCGGATACTGTCCCGCTCGGCCACGATCTTGTCCCGCTCCTGGAAGGCCCAGTCCCGCCGGCACTTGGCCACATCTGCCTCTTGGAGGGCTTCCTTCAGCTCCTGGCACAGAGCCTTGCACTGCTTTCGCAGGGTCTCGGCCTCCTTGTCGGCTCTCCCGGCGTCGATGGCCGCCGTGTCTTTGATCTGGTGGGACGAGGGCCAGCAGAGGAGGACGTTACTGGCCTTCTGGCTCGGGGGTACCATCCGCCTGACGGGAGCTGGGGCTGGGCTGAACTCTCGGGAGCTGATGGAGGGGAACACTGGGGTCCCAGCCACAGCCCACCCCTCCACCCCCTGCTGCGTCCCTGCCTCCCAGTGTCCTTGCGCCCCACAGCCATGCTCGGATCCCTAGTGACGTTAGTCTAAGTCCAAACTCTCACAACTCCACACAGTGCCTGGATAGAACCCCCGTCTCTCTCAGCCCAGGTGGACCATCTCCCCCGGAGGGCTCGCTCCAGGCTCCACCCTGCCACTTACGTGGCCTGTAGCTCACAGGGAGCCACCACATCGCTCTAAAGTGCCCCTGTGAGCCCTGCCCGCGTGGCTCAGTGGTTGAGCATCAACCTATGAACCAGGAGGTCACAGTTCGATTCCTGATCAGGGCACATGCCTGGGTTATAGGCTCCATCCCCAGTGGGGGCGTGCAGGAGGCAGCCGATCAATGATTCACTCTCATCATTGATGTTTCCCTCTCTCTTCCTCTCTGAAATAAATAAGTAAATAAATAAATTTTTTTAAAATAAAACTAAAAATTACAGTGCTCCTGTGACAAAACATAACTAAGTAAGGCCCACGTGCAGTGAAGGCAGAGGTCCTGGTCAGGATCATGTCCGACTGGCAGCAGCACTGTTTCTGTCTCTGGTTTTCGTACTCCAGCATCCTGGGTGACTTTCCAGTCCGAACAGGCAGCAGTGTTTTGGCGGTGAAGCCTGTGTGTCTCAGTTCGATTTAAAAGCTGAAATCTGAAGCATTTGCATCCTGACACCTCCCCAGAGCATTACACGCTCCGTTAAAATTCAAATCCAACCCTGAGAAGCGCTCATACGGAAAGCTCCCCCTGTGCCCCTCTGATCCTTAGGAAACACGGGGAGACGATGAAGCTAGTGTCTACTCCTCCTCTAGCTCACAGGCTTCCTGAGGAGAGGAACAGACCCTGCATCTCTGCCTCCGAGCGACAGGCGTGAGGAAGACAAGCACACCAAGGCTTCCCCGGCCCCACGGCAGACAGCAACACGCCTCCGCTGAAACACGCCGAGACCTCACAGGTTCAGCCAAAAGGCAAGGGTGAGGGAGACAGAGGGAAACGTGTGCAGTCGGCTTCTAACTCCCCCTCATCTCTCATGTCCAGTGTCAGGGGGAGGTGGGGGGTGGGGGGATCTGCACAAAAATAACCCCTGAACTCGAGAGAGAGGGGCAGTGTCACGCTGTTAAGACACACTTCCCGGGACCAAGTCAGCCAAATGACCTCAGTTTTCATTTTTCCCACTTTCATGCAGTGCCGAGTATTTGTTTAGTTTGATATATTTAAAAAACCAATTATTTTTATTAATTCTAGCATGAATTTATTGTGGTAAGTCTTAGGTTTAATAACGTTTTCTTTTAAAAAATATATATATTTCTTTATTGATTTCAGAGAGAAAGGAAGGAGAGAGAGAGAAACATCAATGATGAGAGAGAATCATTGATCGGCTGCCTCCTGCTTGCCCCGCACTGGGGATCGAGCCCACAACCCAGGCATGTTCTCTTGGCTGGAATCGAACCCGGGACCCTTCCGTCCGCAGGCTGACGCTTTATCCACTGAGCCAAGCCAGCTAGGGCTGATAACATTTTCTTAAATTTATGTTTTACTCAATGTTTTACATTAACATAGTTTTCTATTGGAAACGTGTTAACATGTGGTTTCAATGAAAGGTCTTTCCTTTTGGCCCCGGATAAACATCTCAAGCTGAAGGCTGGAGGTGGAGACAGAGAGACCAACGCCAG